AAATCAAGAATCGATGCAGTACTGGAGGACAATAAAAGAAGAAGAAGAAAGATAAGAGGAAGAAGAGGATTATTGCAAGAGGTCCCGTCTATGGTGATGGGAATACAGTTGATTTGTATTTTGGTTTATGTATTTTATGTTTATGTTTATAAAAATAATTTTTAAAAGAAGAGGAAGAAGAAGGGTCATGTTGTTGTCTAGTCGTGTCCAACTCTTCGTGACCCCATGGACGCCAGGCCCTCCTGTCTTCCACGTGACAAGTGGGTATATTGGAGTGTTTTGTAAAATGGTAGATTTTGGATATGTGTTTCCTTTTCTGTTTAATAAATTTATTTTTTTAAAAAAAAACTATATACTTTTTTTTCAAAAAAAGAGTTCAGGCTTAAATGGACCTAGAACTCACTTATTAGTCTTTTTGTTTTTTTGTTTTTGTTTTAAAGCAAAGCTTTTCTGTTTAATAAATTTATTTTTTTAAAAAAAAACTATATACTTTTTTTTCAAAAAAAGAGTTCAGGCTTAAATGGACCTAGAACTCACTTATTAGTCTTTTTGTTTTTTTGTTTTTGTTTTAAAGCAAAGNTATACTTAAAACCCTCTTTGGGCAGTTTTCAACTTTTTTAAAAAAAAAATCCCCCCCCCCCCAGCAAGCTAGATGCTCATTTAACTGACCTGGGAAGGATGGAAGACTGAACCAACCCCCATCCAGCTGTCAGATCCCTTGGTATCAAACCCTGATCATGAGCAGCGTTTGGGCTGCAATACTATAGTCTAACCACCACACCACGAGGTTCTTGGAATTGCAACCTTCTCCTCCAGCACTGCATTTTAATAAACTGATTTTCTCCCCAGTTTCCATCACCATCTGCTTCCACATCTGTACACTGCAATCGCAAATACTGTAATTAATAGCGAAACTCATATTTGGAGGGGTCATAGTTGAGTGGTAAAGCATCACAGGGTCCAGTTTCTGGCATCTCCCACGAGGTCTGGAAGCTTTCTTGCCTATTATTCCATTGAAAACGACGGACTTAGAAGCACCAAACACTAACTCCATATTAGGTGGCTTGCTCTGCTCCCTAATTCTCATAGAAGAAGGCTTTTCTGTAGGGCTTTAAATAAGGATTTAGTAATCTTGGGCTCCATGATCACTGCAGATGCATTCTCATGAAAGAAGGCTTTTATGTAGGGCTTTAAATAAGGATTTTAACACAGTTATTAGTACAGTGGTGCCTCGCTTAACGACGATAATCCATTCCAGGAAAATCGCCGTTAAGTGAAAACATTGTAAAGCGAAATTAAAAACCCCATTGAAACACATTGAAAACCGTTCAATGCGTTCCATTGGGGTAAAAACTCACCGTCCAGCGAAGATCCTCCATATGGTGGCCATTTTCAGTGCCTGTATAGCGAGGAATCCATCCATAAGCACAGCGGGGAGCCATTTTAAGCACCCGGCAGTCATTTTGAAAACCCGATGATCAGCTGTTTTTGATTGTCGTAAAGTGAAAATCGGTTCCCGAAGCAGGGAACCGATTATCGCTAAGTGAAATTCCCCCATTTAGACCATAATTTGTGATTTCAATTGTGATCGCAAAAAGATCGTCGTAAAGCGGATTCGTCATAATGCGGGGCAATCGTACAGGGGGGCACAACTGTAATCTACTATTGGTAGAGGGCAGGTTGCTGCTGGGTGCTTAAGTGAGCCAGAGCACTGGCCATGGAGCAAGGAAGCAGGAGCCTTGATTCTCGCTGGGCCTCCTAGTAATCCACTGTTAGTAGAGAACAAGGAGCTGCTGGGTGCTTAAGAGAGCCGGAGTGCTGGCTATGGAGCAAGGAAGCAGGAGCCTTGATTCTCGCTGGGCCTCCCAGGAGAAGAGCCAGCCTGTGCAGCCTTGGGTCAGCGGTGTCTGGCAGCCCCAGAGCGTCACCAAAAGGAGAAGAACTTGACGAATCCCTTCTAGGAACTGGGAAGGAGTAGAATGGACTGGACAGCACATCGTTGATTCAAAGGAAGAACAGCAGTTTCTCCAAAGGGTTCAAACTGCATTTAACAGGAATCCATTAAACACAGTTTGAATAATTTCCTTGCGCCCCCCCCCCCCAGGGGCGATTCAAAGGAAGAACAGCAGTTTCTCCAAAGGGTTCAAACTGCATTTAACAGGAATCCATTAAACACAGTTTGAATCATTTCCTTGCCCCCCCCCCCAAGAAATGATTCCCAGTCGCGGGGTAATGAAAAACTGGATTCAGATAACCACTCATAAGCATCATGGTTTCCAACAACATTATTGTTTCTTCTTTTTGATCAACTCCTATTGGCAGCAGGGACAGAAGAAAGCATCGCCGTCTTTTGACGTGGGATGCAGCTGCTGTGAATAACAATGTTGTGTTGCAGCCATAGGCCAAGGAAGATATTCAGGGGCCTGTTTTGTGTTGCCAAGCTGGTTCCACCTCAAGGCAAGCCCTGGATGCGAAATACGTAATTTAGCAGGGGCTTGACTCAGTGCTACTGAGTTCCCATGGCCCAGGGGGGATTTGAACCCAGGTCTCCTGCATCCTGATCCGACACCACACTGGTCCTCAGTGGGACATGTTCTATCCAGCCTAGGTGGCCGTCCTCCTTTCCACTTTCTCCCCCTGAGAACCCTGCGAGGTAGGTCATGCTGAACGACTGCCTGTCTGAAACTCACCCACTGAGCTTCTAGACTCAGCAAAGGCTAGGACCGGCCTCTCGCACACCCTCGTCCAGCACCCTCCCTGTTGTGCCACGCTGCCACTCCCACTTGTAACCTGGGCTGGGCTGTTTAGAAGCAATGAGCTCACGACTGATTGGGGGCTTCTAATGGGATGATGTAATTAGATCTTTGTAATCTAACAGCGTAACCCCTCCCATGCCGAAGCAGGCGCCTTTGACGATTCCTTTAAAGCTCCGGTACGGAAAGTGCCGGCCCTCCAGATGTCACAGTGGGAGCTGCAATCCATCAACTTTTGTCAAGCCACAAGTTCCCAGTCCCTGTTAGGTACATGCACACCAACGGCATGCAGTGATGAACTAGACTCTGGGGTTTGAATCCCTGCATAGGCACAGAAACTGTGGGACTGGGAATGTTCATCATCATGTCCTGCCATTAAGTCGGCTCTCACCGGTGGTAACCTTTTCCAAGGTAGAGAGTACAGTCAGTACTCCGAGGTGGTTTCCCCCTCCCTCCTTGTGAAGAAGGCCTTCTGGGGCTCTTCTCCCGGGAGGCGCGGTGGGGACTCGAACTCCCCACCTCCTACCGAAACCGCGGCGCTGCGGAGCCAGCGGGGCTGCTAACACCGCTTCCTTCAATATCCCACCCTCTTTCGGGTCGCTCTCAGCCCGTTCCCTGGCCGGTCACCAAGCCCGGGGAAAGTGGCCCTCCCGACCGCCGCAGGGGAGGGCGAGGCTGGCCCGGAGCCCCCCCCTCCCCGCGGTCCCGTTTCCCAAGACCGGTCCTTTACCCCCTTCGCT